AGCACAGCCCACTCATAAATCCCACAATACTCAATGTTAATTTGTGCAGTGCGCACCTTCTTGCTCCCAGATATTCCTCAGTTCAAACTGACAATTAGGGAACGAGTATGATTGTTCTCTTGATGAATTCTAACTCTTAGGATTAATAAGAGGTATTGAAAAAGGTTGATTCAGAGGAGGTCGGGTCGAGTACCAATACATCATTTTTTGAAAATTATAAAATGAAAATCCTATACAATTTTGTTCAATAAAGAAACTTATCTTCTGCTTATTTAAATCATATCTTTATTATGTCTTCCTACTGACCCATTGACCATTTTGCCAGAAAGGAAGTATTCCTCTCTTAGTGTTACAACATGATTAAGGTTGTTTTCTTCAGTTTACAGGAACAGCCTGAGAACTTGACACCAATGGTCACTTCATAGTCACCTGAATGTTAATGTTTAACCACTTACAGATGCCAGGAGCTTGCAAACTCTGCCTGAAAAGGTACCAGAAATGTGGCGGCATGTCAGACTGACCTGGCAGCCCTGATGCCATTACCCCCTCTAGCTATATGCATGCAGTAAATTCTGACACTAGTGACAGGTCCTGTCATCTCTTGGTCACATTTTACATCCCAGTATATGTTAATGTGCTCATCAGAAGGATGCAAGGGTTCTCAGGAATAAATGTTTCAGTCAGTATATAGCTGTATTGTTGGGGTCAGGTGTCCTTCTGACCTTGTTGAACCCTTCATGGGCAGCCAGCTAGAGCATAGCCTTGTCTGGTCATTGAAAATTCTTGATGTACATGAATGTGTCCTCCTTCTGGAGTGCTTTATGACATAGTCTGACAAACTGGGCTCCCAACAACAGCCACAATGTAAGGAATCAATATAATACAGGAGATGAATTTGCAAACAGTGATGAGAAGAAGTTGTAATGCTGGTCCAAAACTGAAAACTTTCATTGGCTGACATAAAAACCCAGTTAGAAAGGCAATTGCAGGCAGTAATTTGCTTTCATTTATTAATGAATGTAAGTGTCCTGCCATTCATGGATACTTCTTGTCTTTTACATTGTATAGAAGAAGATTGTCCGAGGACAATTCACTAGTCAAACAATGGTTCATGAGCTATCTTTCCTTGATATACTAGGCCATGATTCTATGCATTGATGGCAGTGATGTCTTAAGTGTTAAAAAAAGTGTTATGTTTGCAGAAGGCAGCAAATGATTTGTAGTGGATTGAATACAAAACCATTTGGTTTAGCTTGAATGGCTTCTATGAGTTAAATTGTGCAGGGCATCCTGTCAGTTCTTATGCTGAGGATACTCATGCAACCATGTTATGGATGAACGCGTCAAGCCTGAACAAAAGAGAACCGGTAGACATTGATTTGTATGGCTGAATGACATTGCTGGAAAGAAAGATGATTGCAGTGAAATGTTCAAGGCTTTGCTACATTTAACTGAGAAGTCTGCATATTTGATGCTTTCTTCATGAGAATGTTACTACCATTACGAGCACACTGGAACATTAGTGTGTGTCATTCTGAGTTGTTTAGGGAGTATGTTGATGTATCACTGAGTGCTGAGAGTTTTTCACTGTCATATTTTTAAACATTGTGAAGGAGGAACTCAAGGAATGTGGGGGTTCAACATCATCTCTTCTTATGACACAGTTTCAACTGTTAAGGACGAGGTGAACGGATCCTTCTTGAGATGAATTTTTGAGAATTTGGTGGTCGGAATTACTCAATATCAGAAAAGAATGACAAAATTGCGCTTCAATAAAACCCAAGTTTCTATACTTTTTGCATGAATGTGTACTTCAGAAAATCACTTCTTAGATTTAAGAACCAGGGGTTTTTTGTAGCTCAGATGAATGTGATTTTATATACTTAGTCCTTGCAATCTACCAAATAACATCAAGTCCTTGTTATATGTATATACAAGATGAAAGAAATATAAAACGTATTCCTAAATGTCTTGAAAATCATGGAAATGGAACAAATTTGGTCCTCTACCCCTAAATAGAGCCCAAATGTATGAAGGCTACACTGCTTGTAAATTGAGACATAAATGAAGCTAATGAAGAGGGCTTAGTCTGGATCTTGCCTAAGCCTGCTGGGATAGTGGAAATCTGGAGTATAGCATGACAAACACAAGAGAGTGGACAGCTCGGCAAGACAGTGGAAGGACATCGCTGACCAGTCCTATTCATTATTGACAAGCACAGTATGTCCTCAAGCTTTGGACAGTCGGATCTCTGCTTGTGCTAAATCCCCAAAGGGATTAGTTTATCAGCTAGCTCTGAAGACATTGATCTGAACAACTCATGGGAATTCTTGAATGTGACCAGGAAATAATTTTTTGTCTTTCAAATAAGTGGTATTTAAGAAACAGATGAATCATGATGAAATTTATTCTTGAGTTTGATGATATTTCTAGTTGGCCTGAGAGGTCAATCAGTTTTGGGTCTATAATTCAATAAAATAAGAACTTTTTTTCAAATAGATTAGTCTACACACTTCCAGCAAAACAATATTCTTGTCGTCTTTTTTCTTCACTTTATTAAGTAATTTTCTTATTCATTTTCATTCTTTCACATTCTGCTTCTCAAATTACAACATTCTGTTTGCCCTTCAGTGCAAACAGAAGTTGAGGCAGACTTGAATGATGCATTTAGGAAGAGAGAACCAATATCACTGACACCTCTAAAAGAGCTTTATTCCACTAATAAAACTTCCCGAGAATCATTTAAAAAATGTCTGTCACTCATATGAATCCCAAATGTCAGATGTGACGTGTATTGGGAATCTGTAAGACGGTCTCTACAACTAAAGACGGTGGCCGAGGGCTGGGTGAGGTCAACTCATATCCTCTGCAATATTACAAACTAAATCAATAGTTACTCATAAATAGAAACAGTTCTGTTCTACTTGTTAAGGACAGTACTCGTCAGTATCCTGGCTTCGGTTTTCTCACAGAAGGAAGCCTTGTTACACAATGAAAGGCTTGAGGACTGTTACAACCCCTATTTGTTCAGCTTCAGACAGTGGCCATTCAGGGATTCTGGGTTTTTTTTGGCTTTGTCTTTTTTTCCTTAAAAAATCAATACATTTCTGGAGGTAATAAGTATTGGATTGAACTGATGTTAAATAATGACTGGTTACCTGCACAACAATTATCCATATTGGAGAAATACTTGATGAATTGTTATCAAGTTTCATAAGCCATACTGTTGCCGGGCTACATGATGTGTTGAGAATAGTGTATGGGTTTGTATCAAGTAGAGTTTTATTGAAGTCTAGATGCTGTCCCCAGAATAGATGGCTTGTTGAGAGGAATGTTACAGATTTCAAGCTAAGTTTTGCCAGATCAGAAAGGAAATTATCAGTGATAGTACTGTTCTAGATATGGTGGCCTTTTGACAGTTGGTGTTCTGGAGATGAAAAAGCTGATATTGCTGATTTTTAGTGTTTTACCTTAACAAATTTGTTAAAGGGAGATGGTAACTGGGTGCATCAGCAGCAGCATTCTAAACCCTACTGTTTGTGTAATTCACACTTGATGAAGCACATTAATCTGAACCCAGACTGTAACAAGAGGATGGTTTGACATCCACCGACTCCAATATCGAGATCCTGTAAGCTCCAGCTAAATGGGTTCCCTGATTATCTCATGGAAAACATTCAAGTTACTCAAATTTTACCAGCATCTTACAACAACAAATACTGAAACAGTTTCTAAATTTAAGGTATCTTTAGAATATTTATCATTTACTGTTTGGATTATTTGTGTACACATCTTCATCTCCTTCCACTCACATATCATTGTAATATTATAATGATGACATCAGGTGTTCATGATGTTTCAATGATCTGTTGTTGATAAATCACTTTACTTCAATCCTTTGTGGAACATCAAGTGTTTTTAAACTCCTTGAAAAGATTTACGGAGAAATGTACCCATTCATGTGATAAGGCAAGGTGCATATTGTAGCCAACAGCTTGCAGAAAGGATTCGTAATATGCTGCCTGTCATATTAATCTAGTTTTAATTGACACCAGCAGCTGTGTTTGTGACTTAGCTGATGGTTTTTACCCATCCTTGATTGATTGTCACTCTAGAAGGCTGTCTAGGACACTTGACATCCATTGTCTTTGTCAAATGTGATGTTAAATGTCAAGAAATATGTGTAATCTATGAGAATGTTATTGGAAATGCATTCTTCAAACCGTAAAAAAGTGATAGAAAGGTGACAATAAGAGAATTATAAAGTAATAAATGTTATCTTTGCACATTAATGTGCAATTAAAACTGACAAATGGTTGTTATGATAGATAGCTCTTAATGATGCGAAGACCGCCTCTGTGGTGTAGTGGTTAGAGCGTGCGCCCGGAGAGTGGAAAGTTGCGGGTTCGATCCCCGACCGCGTCATACCAAAAGACTTTAAAATATGGTACTTGTTGGTCCCTGCCTGGTGCACAGCATTAATGGGTACAACAAGGACTGGTCGGCTCGGAGTCAGTATACTGTGTCTGAGTGGGGTATTCATGCTTCACTGCAGCATGGTATCTCAGTGGGCTAGCACTATAAAACCAGCTTAAGTCTGGGCTAGTACAAGCAGCTGCACATACACATACACACGCATGCACGTCATCATATGAGCGAAATATTCTCAAGCACGACGTAAAACCCAATTTCACCTCACCTCACCTAATGATGCAAAATCTGGATTAGAATGTTGCATTAAAACATGTGATTGTATTAAATTGTTTATGGCCATTATTTGTCTGACTTGTGGCAGTAGTCAAAATGTAATAGCATAAATGATATGGATATTGTGATGCAACTGATGTGGTATGATGGGTTCACATGACCCTTTTCTTGCTATCACAATAAATTTACTCTTTTTTCTTAAAGATTTGCAACTTTTATTCTTTAGCTGATGGAGATATAGTCATAAATGGAATAGGTTTTTGCTAGGTTGTGATTTATTTCTTGCAACTTACCATAAAGCTCGACAATCATGCCAAGAGGCATGACAAGTAGAGAGACGAGGAAATCGGCGATGGCCAACGACATGAGGAAATAGTTGGTCATGTTCTGGAGGCGTCGCTCCCAGCACACGGCTAGACACACCAACAGGTTGCCCATTGCTGAAAACAGTATGATGACGAGGAGCCCGAAGATACCCCATCTTAGGCTGGGTTCCTCCGCAACTTGAGTCAGATTACTTTCTGTTAAATTCCATGTCAGATATGCAACTCTTGTCTGGTTCCAATCGTTACTTCCATGACTACCATTCATTCTGTACATCACAGAAGTGTTGGTATTTACTCAGCTTTATAATCCAAAATGAAATATTCCTGTCTTTTCCATCCCAGATTGAAGCCGAGACCAGGCTATGGAAGCAGTCTTCCTTCTAATGACAATTTGTAATTTCCATGCAAACCTGTATCCAATTGAAGCAGTGACACTTAAACTGTTAGATGGACCATCTTTTTCTGCTGGGATGATCAGATGCTGAAGATGTTATCCTTGCTTTTCATAATAATCAAGGGCTCAATGCTACAATACAACCCTGGTTATACTGGGAGAAGCGTCTAATTGCTGCTTGAGATAGCCCGAGTCCTGCGAACTGGCTGGTTGATGTCTGTTTGATATCATTGATAGCCCAGCTTGATTAGATTAACACTGGTACCGCAAATGTTCATTACACTGTTTCCATGAGCATGAAAATTCTCTAACTTTATAAATATTCACCTGGATTTGATTTACATGAATGATTTTCAAACACCACTTAAAAAGCTATTGACTTTTTTCAAGACACATCCGTTGATTGGCGAATTAACAAATCACTGATTCTGTAATGAACACTCCTCTGGCATGGTAATGGGATGACACAATCTGGCGGAAACTTGCCCGTGCACACGGATGCTGCATACATGAAGCCAGAGACTGTTCATCACTACAAGCCTTGTGACTATCTACGCTGGGAGTCAGCGAATGAATGAGAGATACACTGCAGAGCCCTCATCTTTAAGGACTACAGCCTCCCATCCCTGTTACAGCCTGCTATGATTGTATCAGGGCTTCAGTGTGCTCTCTGTTACCTGATGGTAGGTGTGGCAGTGCACTGGTGTAGCTGCCCCAATACTGGAGGAAGTGTACTGAGGGATTTGTCAGTTCTGGACTGCTTTACCATTCCATTGATCTGTCAATATTGAGCTGTATTGATGTTGGGAGACAATTAGGACTACTTGGTCGTTAGGCAGAAATAGTCTTACAGTATGTTAAGGGATAGTCCAGATTAAGAGACTCTTTCTTGTGTTTTAGTAGGGAGTGAAGTGCTTGTGTAATGTTGTGCTGCATTGATTAGCAAAAGATGGAAATTTTTGAGGTTAATTGAGGCTTCTTTTGTAATTAACTGTTTAATGAAGACAGCTTATGAATTTGTTAAAAGTTGAGCTTTGTTAATTGTAATTTTCTTTTTCACTCTTCAAAGTATCATTTTCTATTGATTTGATGCATGGCAGTACTTGAATGATTCATTGGCAGACACTTTGGAGGATTGCTATTGATGAATTCTCTTCTTGGTCGTTGCCTTGTGATATGAATTAAAACTCACCTCACTTTAGACTCGACTGCTTGATTACATGCTCAGGGAAAATGTGACACTTTGTAATTAAATCCAAGATCACTGATCAGTCCATGGAGATTTTTTTATTCACAGGGATGAAAAAAGTGTAAGAATTTAAAGCATTCTGTGAACTACTTGCTCAACCTTTGCAAACTTTGTAGTTTTTCCATCACCTTGGAGAACAGCGGTTGACATAATGGTTGAATATGCTGACCCGATTACACAGGATTGCATTAGTTCGTTCTGTATTGAATTAGCCACAATTTAACTGAGAGACAGTTTCTACTCCCTAAGTTGCACACTCTCCACAGGGACCTGACAAGCTGTTGGGAGAGCATGGCCGTGATTGCCTGGAGGGATGACCATGTTTTGAAAGGTCTTTCAGTATTGCGGAGAAAATATTTTATATTTGAAATATCTGTGCTTAATATGACTTTCATTGTTTGGAATGAGAATTCTTTTTGTTAAACCTTTTCAAAATGAGACTTGTTTTTCAATTTTAATGTAAATAAAGATTTGATTGGTGTCTTGACAGAAGAAAATTTGTGGACATATATGCCATGGGCAAAATGTCAAGGTAACTTGGAGCGTTGAGTGTCTGAAAAAAGGTTTGCTTGCACACATCAGTTCTTTAAAAAGATTTTTTTTACTGTTCCTGGGAAAATTGAAATCATTGGAAATGAACTCAAATGTCCTTTTGTCAAAATGTCTTTTAGAAAACGGTCTCAATGTTTCTATTGCAGTGGCAAACCCACACAAATGGCTGCAAAAGATCCACTTTTGAGACCATTTTGACAGAATAATACTATAAAAATTGTTAATGATTAGGTAGTGGGTAAAATTTATATTGATTCTAAGGTTCCAGAAGGGCTGGCTCTGTAATATATTGCCTATCTGGTTAGGAAGTTACATGGACAGGTATCCCTTTGTTCTGGACTGAACAATAGACAGATGGAGAGTAATGTATACTCATTGTGTTTTGATGGCCCATAGGAATATTTATGGAATTTTTTTGTGTTACCTTTTGGTCCCTGCAAGCAGATGTTGTTCAATTGAGATTGTGCTGTACATTGATGACAATTAGCCATGGAACATTGTGTGTTTTCTCAACAAGTCATCACCAGGTTGCCGTATCGGTAACTGTGACAAGGCTCCCTTCAGGAATTCAGCACTCACATTGCACTATTCAATAACAAACACCTGTTCAAAATTCAAGCCCAAGCCTTTCTTCTTGCGTGATGTGATTGAATGCAGAAAACAAATCAGCAGTCAGCGATGAGTTTAATAGCTGAAGTTGATAACATTCTCAAATATCTTTAGCAACATTGATCTTTCTGGAATAATTACCTGCAAGAAACTGGATGTGCATATAACACACAAGAAATTAATTATCTTTGCTTTACTGAGTAGTTGCAATATTTTGCAAGATTTTGAATCTGTAGGTCATATTACAGCTCTTATTGTTCTATTACAAGGTAATAGCAGGGTATTTGGAATGAACAATTGGTACAATTAATAATATCTGTCTCGCACATCTGTCATTAATCATTAGTGTCTATGAATACTGCAACAGACTGAAGGTGAAAATAAACGTAAAAATAAAACTTATTGCTGATTTTGTTTGGTACACTGAAGGTATGATCTCACATGTTGGTGATCTTTGTCTCAGAATATCATTCATATCCTTTGGTTTCTTTAATTTACAGAAAATATCAGCCAGAGCATAACATGTGCATTTCTTCTGAAATCAAAGTCACTCCTGACTCACACCCAATCTGACCGCCTCTGTGGTGTTGTGGTTAGAGCAGCTGCCCAGAAAACGGAAGGTTGTGGGTTTGATCCCGGCTGTGTCATACCAAAAGACGTTAAAATATGGTACTTGTTGGTCCCTGCCAGGGCCTCGGCATTAATGGGTACAACAAGGACTGGTCAGCTCGGAATCAGTATAATGTGTCTGAGTGGGGTATTCATGCTTCTCTGTGGCATGGTATCTCAGTGAGCTAACACTATAAAACCAGCTTAAGTCTGGGCTAGTACAAGCACCCACACATACACGTGCATCCATGTCGTCATATGAGCGAAATATTCTCAAGTACGAGTTAAACCCCATTTCACCTCACCTCGCACCCAATCCAAAATTAGGGATGGAATTTCAGGGGCCTTTGTAATTATCCCAATTTTTATGGAAACAAATGGAACCCAGGAGCAAGGTGCAGCAAACTGCTGTGGATATTTGTATCCCTTGATGTTGGTCTGAGTTTTAATCCCAGATCTATCTTCATCCAGGTCCAGTACTTTTAGGGCCAAAATCATAGAGGTTTTCATTCCAGTAAGCTGGCACAAGGTGATATTTCTGAAGTCCCTTCCAAGCAGTGTCAGCCAGTCTCGTCAGTCTGTTCATGCTTCCTATTACGCAGGGCTTCGGAGAAGAGTGTCAGTTTACTGACATTATGTGAAATACTAATGAACACCCTGTGTGATACTCTACAGGTTATCCGAGGAACTCATCCGAACTGGCAAGGGACAGATTATGCCATTCATTGAGAACATCGTATCTCTGGATTCACCATACATCCCCAGTACACAGTAGAGGATAAAATATGGCCTGTTCATTCATTTAACTCTTTTGATGTGTCTACTCCGGTTTCATTTGGACTGAGGAACAAAAAATCTTCTTTGATGTCGAGCGTCCAATTTAGCAAGGGGAAATGACCCTGATTCGACGGTGTTGCCTTTTCATCATTACAAATAAGATTCACTTGCGATATTCACTTGATTTGAACGGATTTGATTTTGTTTATGAAGATGTTGTTAGGATTCTTCTGTAAGTCTTAAAGGACAAATTCTTGTGTCCATTCTTTTCTCAAATTTCCATTTCTTCATGTGGGAATGCTCACTGTTGACCAATGGTTTAAGGTGCTGTGATTGGCTGTGCATATTTTTTGTTCATTTTGTAGACTTGTAGTTTTGAATAACTCTAGTTTTGGTAGTAAACATCAGCCTAAGTGTTGCATCCCTAAGCTGATTTTCAGTTTGAATCCAGATGCACTTCGGTCAGAATTAAAAATTAACAAATTAAAACTGAATTTGACAACAGGAGATTTATGTTACTTATTTGTAAAAATCTTTGGTGGATTTTGAATATAAAAAATACATTAAAATTCATATAGTTTTGAGTGATGTACATAGGACAACTATGAATTTTAATATTTTTTGTAGTAGTGTCTTTTTATATGTATGCTTTAGACATCAACAACACCGATCACCTGGATATATGGCTAAAACCGATCATAGAGTAATGACATCTATGTTGTTCAAGAGATTAATGTGACTGCCATGAAATTTCAGTGTTGCTGATAGTGATAAGAGATATTGATTTAAAATATTTATGTCTGCTGCAAAATCAAATGCTATAAGCTGAAGAGGATCATTTGTGACATAACCTCTACCACAGTGAGAACAGAAACGAACACATTGTCATGCTTTATCATGGAACCCCATCCCTTGGGAAGCTGCAAGGGACTTTCCAAGGTATTAGCAGCATTGTCCTGTCATATGTTTGTGATTTTCAAGTCTGGAATACTCCCTCGATGGGACATTCAACAAGATTTGTCTGAATGTATTCATGCACATCTTTCATAATCAGTTATCCTCTTATTGAGGAGCTACACGCTGTTAGGCGATGCCACTGTCCAGTTTGATTTGGAGCTTGAGTAGGTCATCCAGTGGTGGGGGTTGGCCTGTAGCGGGACCAACTCAGATAGCTGGAAAATCTTTCTGAGACGTTTCATCGATGGTACGTTGGTACATTTAACAAAGTAATAAGACCTCATATGTCTCCTGAAATGCAGTTTTCCTGAATCTTGATTGAAGGAAACATTTTGAGGGTATTTGGCTACTTTAATCATCCTTACCTCATTGCCTGGGTTGGTGGGGAAGCTGTGTGGTTTACACCTTGCACTTGTCACAACCAAGACCAGCATCAATTCCCAGAACAATGAAGCTTATTTTCCCAGCTATAGAGCTTATATATTGATGTACACATGGTTTTCTTTACATTTACATTTACTTTCAAACACATGTCATTCAAACTCTAGTGTGAGAAATAAATAAGCTGCCTTAACCTAATGTTATTTTTGTGAGGTGGTCAAAAATATGTCTAAAATACTTTGAAAATGTTACTGAAGAGGTAGCTTGTGTGCATCCTTTACCAAATGGTGGAAGGTGTAATGAATTCTTGCTCTACATTTTGGTGTTCATTTCAAAATGATTATATCTCACGGATATTTCAATTTAAAATCATTGCGAGTTTACCACGCTTGTCTGCTGATCGTGAATGTTACTTCCAGGTGAAGATCATCTTCCTCTTGCCTGATTAGGCACTCGATGAGATCAAATATGTACACAATCCTGTAGTGACATTA